AAAAAAAAAAAAAAAAAAAGAAAGAAACTGAGAGAAAAAATATTTTAAAAAGAAGTATTATCCTCATTGGAAGTCTGTAAATAAAAGCAACACAAACCCAAAAAGCCTCTCCAGTTTCATTTGACAAGAAAAGCAAGAATAATTCTGCTTATGGACTGCAAAAATTTCCTTTTAAATAACATGATGTCTCTTATAGAATTCTGTTTTCATTTAGACGGTGATATTTATATAGTTTACTATCAGAATAAATTTTATGTTTCATTCTCCTGGTATCTCTTCTGAATATATCGTTAAGTTGATATATGAGTTTTTATCTTCTTTTATTTTGATTTATACGATTTTATTCTATTCTATTCTAATTTTATTGACTGATTGCTAGAGTGGTTAGCATAAAATGTTTGCTCCCATGTGGAGGTGGGATGGTAGCTTGGGACTTGGTAGGACTTGGGAATTTCCTGAAGAGGAGAAAGAGAAAGGGAAAGCCTGATTCTTAGGTGGATCTTTGAATCAGCTCTCTGGTTTGTGAGTGTTCATTTATTCCTAAAGATCACTGAATTGCAATTTCACTCTGTTCTCCAAGGCATCAGGACATCTCAAATATATTTCTCTTCTCTCTTTGCAGGAAGGACATTTCCCACTCACCCTTACTTTTCAGTGCAGCTCGGGGCAGGGCAGCTGTCACTCTTTAACCTCCTGAAAGCCTATTCCTTGCTGGACAAAGAAGTGGGTTACTGTCAGGGGATCAGCTTTGTGGCTGGAGTCCTGCTTCTGCACATGAGTGAAGAGCAGGCCTTTGAGATGCTCAAGTTCCTCATGTATGACCTTGGCTTCCGCAAGCAGTACAGACCCGACATGATGTCACTACAGGTGAGGAAGTTGTTCTTCCCGAGGAACACACAAAGCCATTACCACAAATCCTGGTCCTTTTCTGAATTACAGTTCAGTTTTAAAGAAAAGGGGACCCGTTGTCTGAGAACTTGGGCAAATGCAGGGGCATGTGTTAGTTCAGTTGGGATTTGGGATTTTGATAAACGTCTAAGTGTCTGAGACCCATAGGCAGGATAACTTCTGCATCAGGTTCTTGAGGAAGTAAGTAATTTCAGAAAGGTAGGTGATGGAGCAGCCTACCTCTGCTCCACAAGGAGTAGAGTGCTGGCTCTATATACTGGAGGTGGTGGGTTCAAACCCAGCCCTGGCCAAAAAATGTAAAAAAAAAAAAAAAAAGGTAGGCGATTGCCACCCAAGCCTTTATTCCCTAACTCTGTGGGTTACCCAGAAAAAGTATCAAGTCATCTTTATTCACTTTTCCTGACTTGTCAGTTGAACAGACTTCTATATCTTTTGTTTAAAATCTGAAAATATAATGTCTTTATCCTTTTACTTTGAGTGTCACGTCTTGGCTCTTTGTGAACTTACCACATCTCACTTCCTTTATTTGAATGTGAGACGGGCCCTTACAAAGGAACAGAGTGAGAACCAGCGCGGCTCTTCCAGTCTGCTTTTCTGAGCAGGCTCTGAAGGGGCATCAGGATGCTTTTCAGATATTTGAAGTGCAGTGTTTACTGCCGCTGCTGTCCTCCACCCATTTCAAACTCCCTGTTGACACATTTCTCCCCTAGTTGAAATTTCACTTCTGTAAATGGGCTTGTTGCGAACAAGCAGTTTAAATTTTGTCTTTAGATAAATATTTCAAACATCCACCACCTTGCAATTTCAAGCTTTTAGTAGCAAAAATATAAAGGGAGACTCTCAAGAGGACTGTCCGGGTTCTTCTCCCTTAGAATGCTACAAATATGACTCCCAGGTAGTCATAATATTATGCTTTAGATAAAAAGAAAAATACTTTAAAGATGCTTTTAGAATTTACTCTTTTTCCTGGTTTGCAATGATCAGTTTTTACCTTTAGTATTTCAGTTGCCAGTCTTAAGCAAAAAAGCTATGTATTTACCCTATGAGTATTACAGGTAATAGTATTTTTTTGAGAATATGGGTAGAGAGGTATTGTTTCAAATGTCTTTACTTCCTCAAGGTGAAGTTTTGTCTAGGGAACTAGGGCTTTCCCTCAACATTGGATTTTCTGGTTCCTATGCTGAGTGCCCACCAGGATACTATACTTACAGCGATTTGATTCCTAGTTGGTGACTAGTCATAGTAAACAAGTCAAATAATGCCCATGAAAGGTTTTAGTTTGTGTTTTATTTCTGAATGGTTTATCTGTATTTTAATATCTGTGAGGAAGCATTGGCACCTTTGCTAAATAACTCAGATTTACAGAAATAACAGTTTAGTAGTGAGCACTAGAATTTTAAAGAAGGGGAAGTATTTGATAGTAGTGTTTGATTTTGGTCTACAGATATAAAGACATAGGTATCAGCTTAAAAATGCAATGATTCTTCTTTTTGAATTTTTTTTTTTTTTTGACACAGACTCTCACTCTGTTGCCCTGGGTAGAGTGCCATGGTATCATGATGGTTCACAGTAACCTCCAGTTCTTGGGCTCAAGCAATCCTCTTGCTTCAGCCTCCCCAGTAGCTGGGACTACAGGTGCCTCCCACAATGCCCACCTAGTTTTTCTATTTTTTTTTTTTCTTAGTAGAGATGGGATCTCATTCTTGCTCACGCTGGTCTCAAATTCCTGAGCACAAACAGTCAACTTGCCTCATCCTCCCAGAGTGCTAGGATTACAGGCATGAAAACTGCAATGATTTTTCAATTTAAAAATTCTTCATCAGTTTGATATTACAAAAGTTCATGTAAAAATTGGATTTGTGTATTTAATACAGACTCCCATGACCAAGAAATATTTTATGTCTATAATTTTGAAAATGCAGATATTTAAAAATCTTTGGCAGCAGTATTCTAGTAGGCCATAGCACTGGGAACTTTTTCTAGGAAAATAGATCTTTTTCTTTATAAAGTGAGATTTAACACTTTTCTACTTTCTGGAGCAGGCGGTTGGTGTTTTGGGTCCACCAGTAGACTTTCAGAAGTATGTATAATGTCTCTTGCGGTGGGTCTGCAGTGGCTTCTCGCTCCACTCTTGCTGAGCTGGGGCGCTGGAGCTCTCTGCTTTAGTTACTTTGTCTGTAAACTGAGGGGGCTGAGCTGTCTTTCCACTTTAGATAGCTCTGTGTCATCCTGTTTGTGTCTGCTGATTTCCGTGGTAAGCATAAAAGCATTTTATCTTTTTCTCTGAGTCGTTGGTCTCTACTTTTTTTGCATCTTCTTTCCCCCACCCTTCTCATCTCTCTCTGCCTCTTTCCTCCTCCAGTTCTGCCTCTTTCATCTGAAGATTTGCCAGGTTGTCTTTAGGGTAGAATTGAAGAATTATTTTTCCTTAGCCAATAGGGTTTTCTTATTAAGGCTTCCTTTGTGGGAAGCCCGAAGAGTGTTCTTATTTGTCAGAATATACTTTGATGGAAGAAAATGCTCTCAACCCCTACTTGAGAACGTAGGAGGAAAAATTAAACATTGAAGTTTGCCTCTGTGTTACAATCACAAGTGCACAAGAATAGTCTGCCTTTGATGGTGTACTGGGTTTTTTTTATTCTGCTAATTAGACTTGTTTGATGTTTGTGCTTACTAAAATACTAATTCTTCTCTGGGTAGATGCCCAGTATGTCTCACCTGTGAATGGCTTAAGGGAAATGTATGATTTTTTTTTCCAACATGACCTACTGAGATAATCATCTTATTTTTTTTACAAACTTTTATGTTTGACTCCAGCTAGGCCTCTGCTGCTTCTTTTATAACTGTGACTTCCTGTGGCTCTTTCTTTTTTACAAATTTCTGATTTGTATGGAAACTCAGTTTCCAAAGATATTTGTCATAGATAGGGATCAAATAAATAATTTGTGCATTTATGTACAGCCCTTAATGATTTTCTTCCCCTAATGGAGACTCTTGAGTTTTAGTTTTGTGCTCTGAAAACAGTTGTTGAATTCACAACACAATTGGTTATTTTTATGTATCTTCATGGAGCTTTAAAGGTGTTATTTTAATGATTTCTTCTAGTAAGAGAAGTTCTACTAGACTTAATAAAATATCCTACACATTTCATACCAGAATATTTAAGCAGATGAAACTGATCAGGGAATCACCACACACTTGTTATCTGTGCAGGTAAAAATTTAGATTAAAGCACATATCACACATTTGTTTATTATTTACGGCTGCCTTACCTTTAGTATCACAGAGATATGAGTTTAAAAGTTTCTATATGGTGTCTTTATAATGGTTTTGGAAATGCCAGCAGTAAATTCAGTAGCCAAATGGAATCATTTTTTCTTTTAATTCTAGAAACATTCAGAAACAGCTGCACCTTTGGCCTTAATCCCCTGCGTCATGAAAAATACGCTGTTAGAATAGCTTGGATATTAGAAGTAACAACTCCAGCTTCTTGCCCTAAAACAATCTAAACTTCTGTCCTCACAGAGCAGATTATCTGGTGGATATAAGCTAGAACTCTATCATAAATCAGATGTTGGACCCAGCAAATGGAAAGAAGCTTTGCTTCTATCCTGAATGTAGTAGATTCTTTAGAATGGAGGCTTTTCTGCAATTAGTCTGAATTTAGAAGGGACTGTCTGTGGGAGTCTTGAGCCAGGACAGTTCTGAAGAAATTTCAAAAGCAATGCCTTCTTACACTAGGGAAAACACATTTCCGTGTATACTGTGTTTCCCCAAAAATAAGACCTACCCCCAAAATAAGCCCTAGCAAAATTTCTATGCATTTGTTAAATATAAGCCCTACCCAGATAATAAGACCTAGTGATGGGTGTGGCTATGCAGCCACACCATGCGTTTTGGTGTAGAGAGGAAGACATCCCCTGAAAATAAGCCCTAGTGTGTCTTCTTGAGAAAAGATAAATATAAGATAGTGTCTTATTTTCGGGAAAACACAGTATGTGATACCCAAACCCACATGATTGAGAAACTTGTTCAACAGTCTTAGCTGGACTTTCAGTGACTTGCTTTATGACTTGAGTTAAATTGAATTTTAACATCAACTTTGAAATAATAATAAAAATAAACCAATACTATTTTTCTTGTGCATTTATTTGAATTTATTATTAAATGTTAGAGCAATAAAAGTAAAGTTAGTGTGTTCTATGGACATTCAGATAAACATATAATAATATTTTATTTTTTTTCTCCAAACTAATTTTAGATTCAGATGTACCAGCTGTCCAGGCTCCTTCATGACTATCACAGAGATCTCTACAATCATCTAGAAGAAAATGAAATCAGCCCCAGTCTTTATGCTGCCCCCTGGTTCCTCACACTGTTTGCCTCTCAATTTTCACTAGGATTTGTAGCGAGAGTTTTTGGTAAGAGATGCCTATGATCAAAAGGAACAGTGTTATTTATTTCAAAGAATAAAATTCTAGCCATGTCATGTCCTGATTATTTTTATCATGTGTTAATACAGAATGGCAGATTGCTAGTAGTAGAATTTAATAAATGCGCCTGGTTCCATTCTGATGGTAACCTGAAACAATATTGGTCCTAAGTAACATGAATTAAAAGGGAAAGAAGAATTGGGCTTCTATATTTGAGTAAGCTGTAATGGAGCTCTTATTTTCATTTTTATATTGAATAAAAATGGGAGTATACATTTTTAAAACTCTGGACTAGAGACATGCTCTTTGTAATTTTCCAAATTTACATATATATCTTTGCCTCTCCCCTTCTCTCCCCTTCCTCTTCTCTTTCCTTTTCTCTCTCTCTTTTTTTAACTTTTGCCACTATCCTCTGTAACTTAGATTCAAAACAGAAACACGTTCTTTGGATCAATGAAAGTATTTAGATCAATGTTGTTTCTAATGGCATTTCTTAATCTGATTTTTTGTCATTAAAAGAGTAACTTCAATTTCTCTTTCACTGCTTAAGTGGGTCTTCTGTCATGCTAAGGGCACTCTCCAAGACTGGGTGGCTCCGGGAAGAACACTAGGTACAGGCAGCAGGGCCCAGGGCAAGTGATAGCACAGCCATCTTGCTCCAATCAGTGTTTGGTACAGAGAATAAAAAGAGAATATGATATAATACTTTCTTTGGGACTCTTAGAGTTTTTCACTAATCTTTAAATTTGTCTAAGTCTATTATTTAAAAAGCAAAAATTAAAAAACAACTATTCTGTGGACGTTTGTTCTTAATGTTATTACAGTAGACCCTCCATAATTGACCACCTTCCTATGTTGAGCACCTCGTTAAACTGACCTAATTTTCATAGACCAGACATCCCTCACATGTGTGAGTACAGTGGGCCTAGTTCCTTATTTTAATCACGTCTGTGGGGCGACCAGTTTGTTACAGCCCCTTGGGTGGTCAACTTACAGAGGTTCTACTGTACTTAGGGCTTCAGTAGCCTTAGGAAGAGCCCGCTTCATCTTTATGTTCTGTTCATCTATCTGTTCTTGGCATCAAAGTAGTCAGCATTCATTCACAACTATGCTTTTGCTAAATTGGAGCTTTTCATCAGTTTCTCAGTATTGGCCCAATTATAAGTCATTAAAAAGTGAAATAGAATAAAATACAGTGGAGATATCAGGGAATATTACAAACTAAGGAAATAATGTCATTTGAAGAAACTTCTGTTTTAAGGATTTATGTGTAATGTGTATACACATGCCATGTGTAGTATGTACACATATGTTAGATGACAATGTACAGTGTTTATCTTATTAGGTGCTGTGGTTTAAAAGGTTAAACACTCTGTTAGCTATAAAACAATCTATAGACAATGTCCAGCAAAAGAGTAAAATCAAGATGCACTGAATCAAATGTTCACTAGATTTCTCATTTATTATTTATTACTGGTTTTCTCCAGTGACACCGACGTTTTCTCTGGAGCTTGGTTTTCTATTAATGAGTCTTCTAGAAATTATACACACAGGCTACTGGGGACATTTGTTTCTTGAACTCTGTTAGCAGGTTTATATCACACACCTATAGAACAAGCATCTATATGTATCTTTTCAGAGAATAATCTACATGATATTTCAAGGTGTCTCTCTTAGACTTACCCTGGAAACTTGATAACAGCGTTCAAGAAACAAATGTCCCCAGTAGCCTATTCCTTGTTATGAGAATATGAATGATGCTGTTGGCTATTTAGTAGCTGCTCAACCCTTTCCTTTGGATTTAGAAAAAAGAGACCGTCAGGAAAGGGAAAGATGCATGAGCAAGAATAATGACCATGTTTAAAGTAATTCATCTACAGTTATCTCTTTTTTGAGTCGTTTATTTTTATTTTTTATTTTATTGGCCAGGGCTGGGTTTGAACCCACCATCTCCGGCATATGGGGCCAGCGCCCTACCCTTTTGAGCCACAGGCACCACCCCCAGTTATCTCTTTTTTAAGACTCCCATTGTATTATATATTACTGATTAAAGATTGCCAAAGATTGAGAGAAACTTTTACACACAAGTGTTTCAGACTTTTCAACACTCTGCAGGTCCGCATTTGTAAGAAAGTAGTGTTGAGAGTTAGGGTGGCTTTTCTTTTTCTCTCTGACTTAGGTCAAACACTCTTCTTCCAAACACTCTAAACTTCTTCAAAGGAAGTATATTTGTTTTGATTTTTCTTTTAAAGATTTTTTTAAAAAAAATTCCTGCTCTGATATAGATTTAGTTACATATTAACTGATTAACTTGCTTTTTAATTATGGTAGCAGAGAGTTTGAATAACACGAATTAGTTATGTGGACTTGTTTTTGTGTTCCTGTTGTGAAGAAAAATGTAAATATCATTTGAAGAAGCATCTTCGAGATTTGCCTAGTCTGTGTTGAATTTGCCATTAAAAGTTATAAATAATACATAGATAGACATGTAATTTGCATTTTTTTATGCGGGCCTTATCTGAAATTCTTACTAAGGGGAAACATTTATTTAAAAAATAAATTAAAAAAACCTAAATTTAAAACAAATTCTAGATGGTTTTGGCCAGCTTTCTGTTACAAAATATATGAAACCAATAAACAAAAACCTTTAGGACAGAGAGCATGCTTTTGGTAATAGTGGATGCATAATTTTGACCATGAAAATTATTTCTTCTTTTAGACATTATTTTTCTTCAGGGAACTGAAGTCATATTTAAGGTTGCACTCAGCCTGCTGAGCAGCCAAGAGGCACTTATAATGGAATGTGAAAACTTTGAGACTATTGTTGAATTTCTTAAAAGCACGCTACCTGATATGAATACCTCTGAAATGGAAAAAATTATTACCCAGGTATGACTTAAATGCTAATAGTAAGCTATAAGATTATATAGTAAGCTATAAGATTATATAATAGTTTCTCTCCTGATTAAATAAAAAGTATTTTAGCATAAAAACTTAGTTTTGCTTGACAGGTATAATTTTTTTCCAAGTTTTCTTCACTTAAATTAGATATATTTTATTTAGAAATGGGATGATTGTGAAATTTCTACATTGTGATGTTGTTTATCTCCATATGTATAGAAAATGTGTTTTGGTTTACTTAATGAGTTTTTAAGGAATCCTTTCAATTTTAAACCAATCTAAGACTTATGATAGAACTGAGGGAGTCAGGGAGACCTGAGAGTCAGTTGGGACCCACTTCCCTTTGTTATATTCCTAATTCTGTTGCAAAATATACAAGGATGTCATGTAGCAGGAGCACAGGCTTTGGAATTAGAAAATAGTGCCTTTATATCTTCTTTTAGATATTTTATTAGGCTTGTCTACATCACCATAATATTCTAAAACCCTGGTTGTCTCAGCTCCAAAATGGGATCACACTGATCCAAGAAATTTCGTGAAACTTAAATGAGGAGACTTGACTTATCAGTCTTGGACGCTACAGCAAACACTCTTCTTGCAGTGATTCTAATGAAGGAACCACTTACACAGGTGTGGTCAGGGTGAAGAAAACCCAACGCCAATGTCCAGTGGCCAAGAAACTAGTAACAGAGAACAGAGCTGTTCATACCCCTCATGCTGGCCGGGCGTGGTGGTTCATGCCTATATCCCAGCACTCTGGGAAGCCAAGGCAGGTAGATTGCTTGAGCTTACAAGTTCGAGACCAGCTCTGAGCAATAGTGAGACCCCATCTCTACTAAAAATAGAAAAACTAGCCTAGCATCATGGTGGATACCTGCAGACCCAGCTACTCCGGAGGCTGAGGCAGGAGGATCACTCGAACCCAAGAGACTGAGGTTGCTTTGAGCTATAAAGATGCCATGGGACTCTACCCAGGGAGACAGAATAAGACTCTGCCTCAAAAAAAGAAAAATAATCCCCAAATATACCCCGAGTGCTGAGGGGGCAAGTGGAGGGTATGATAGTGTTACCAGGCCCAGTGAGAGCCGGAGCTGAGGAGGAGGGTCTCTGGGGGTGGTTGTAGTCTTGGTAAATGAAACAGAGAAGGATCAGGGAAGAAATACCCAACCTCTTTTTCCTGCCCCTTCTCATCTCCTGCTGACATCTTCCATCATCCAAACCCAACCAGAAGCCAGCCAGAAAGGAAGCATGGGGACTGCAGTTCACAGGGCTCTGCCTCCCAGGGTAGAATGGATGAAGATAGAGAATGGATCAGATCTAGGAAGCAAACAGAGAATAAACCACACATCATGTATCTAGTTCCTGACTTCCCATAGGGACCAGGCGAGTGGTACTTATGTATTGATGCTGTTTGGGTGAAATGATGTGCTTGAGGTCAGATTTGTAGGTACCATAGTCATGCTTTATGAACTTTGATAATGTTAACCACTTTCCTGAAGGAGGACAGTTTAGAGAGAGCAAGGGAGTTTGGAATTTCGTTGTGGTGCCTGCCACCTACTAGCTCATGACTTCGGGCAAGTTACAACCTCTCTAAGTCTCAATTTCCTCCCCTATAAAGTGGGAATAACAATAATAGATCCTAAAAGATTTATATTATTTTTAGGAGCAAATGTAAATGAGTTAAAGTATTTTGTACACTGTAATTCACACTGTAATGCAAACTCTTATCATTATTATTACACATCAAAATTTCTTTCTACTACATAGAATCTAAATCATGAGTAGATTATTCAGCATTTATCTATGAGTAGTTTTTATTTCTTAAAATGCTCTGTAAACTTCAAGTATAGATTTTATTTCTATATTTACTTGATTCTTCATTCTTCAGAAAGTTCCTTTTTTATTGGCAAATGGTCAGGGGTTATGGTTTTGGAAATTTGACATGAGACATCACCTCCCTCCTAAAATTAACGAGGAAATCTCCTGGCTTTATAGATTACTACTAGAATTAATGGGTATCATTTAGAGGCAGATAGGTTTGAACTTGATATCTGATAGAATTTTTTAGCAATTAGAGCTGATTAATTAGAGAATGAGCTACCAATCTTGAAGGAGACCTTAGTAAGCTTTATTTATGGAGACTGTAAAAAATGGAAATAATGCAGAAAAGAACAAGGAAAATATAAAAAGTAGCTATAGATCTCAACTTCTAGACATGATAACCTTTGAAACTTCTATTACATGACTCTTTTCTTTTATAGACATTAAAACATATGCAGTTATACATAGGTGACATCATATTACATGTGCTTGTGCAACTTGATTTTTAATTAAACTATATCTAGAGCAGTGTCTTTCTTTTTCTTTTTTTTGAGACAGAGTCTCACTATGTCACCCTCTGTAGAGTGCTGTGGCATCACAGCCTACAGCAACCTCAAACTCTTGGGCTTAAGGGATTCTCTTGCCTCAGCTTCCCAAATAGCTGGGACTAGAGGCGCCTGCCACAACACCTGGCTGTTTTTTGTTGCAGTTTGGCCAGGGCCGGGTTTGAACCCGCCACCCTCAGTATATTGGGCTAGCGCCCTGCTCACTGAGCCACAGGTGCCACCCCCCCAAGTCCTCATTTTTTAATGGTTGTATAACAGTGCATTTGTATCCATAAATACTAGGTAAGGAAAAAGTGATCGTTATTTGAAAGGGATGACCAGTTAGTCTAGAAATACTCTTATTAAAATTTTAATATTTGATTATCTTTAAAAGTAGTAGAGTAAGTAAATGTGTGTGTATGTGTTTTTGTTTTTGTTTTTTTTCTTCACAGTGTTAGTATAGCTGCTTGAATGGCAGCTGCTGCTTCTCTTTCCCCCCAGCAATTTTAGACTAGGGAGGGGGTTACCTCTCTTTCAACTTCAAAGAGAACTGCCTTCCTGTTTTGAGGATAATATGGGGTAGTGGCAGCAGCCCTAATTAAAACTTACAGCTCCGGACAGTGCTCAGGCTATGCAATTTTGAGAATTCTTTGTGCAGTAAATTACTCCTAAGAGTTTTCATAGAATAGCAAGTGCATGAAAACATTTATTTCTATTCCACTGACAAATTTGAAATGTTTTTGATCTCTTAATAATACCCTATGCAATTTTGTATTCTGATAATCAGCAAAGATTATCTCTAACATAGATTATAATTATTCAATAACGAATGTTGTTTATCTGGTATACTTCATTTTAGAAGATAGTTACTAGATTAGGAATATCTTGGTTTCAGAATAAGGCTGGACATTTCCTGTAAGTAACTTGGTTTCCTTATGAGAATGTGTCGGTTGCATGGAAATGATCTCTCTGTTCTTACGTTGACAGTCTAATCGATATCTAATTTGTCCTTGTATTGACAGTAACACATGTTTCTGTTTTCCTTTTTGTATGCTTTAATGTCTTTCCTTAGTAAGTATTTAGGAATACGTGTGAAGTACAGCAAGGCACACAGACTATATACAACACTGAGGGCCTGGCCTAACCATGGTGCTTTCGCGGCAGGTTTTTGAGATGGATATTTCCAAGCAGTTACATGCTTATGAGGTGGAGTATCACGTGCTGCAGGATGAGCTGCAGGAAGCTTCCTATGCCTGTGAGGATAGCGAACCTATGGAGAAGCTGGAGAGGGCCAACAGCCAACTGAAAAGACAAAACATGGACCTCCTCGAAAAATTACAGGTAAAGAAAGAAAGATATAACTGCGGAGGTTATATCTTGCATGCGCTGTACTGGGAATGGCAGGGGTGTGCACAGAAGGAATCATTGAATCATTGCTGACCGAGGCCCCGTGTATCAGATTGTGTCCAAGTGTTCCCAGGGCTACACATGACATATAAATTTAAATATCACTTGGGAGGAAACAAAACAGTTAAGTGGCAATTCAAAGCAGAATCTGGTTGAATGTCATGTTGTACATATTTGGCTAAGTTCAAGGGAAGAAGAAGTGAATGTAGGAAGTGGGGAAAGAGGAACTTGGGCTTGAGCTGGAATCTGAGGGTGGGCAGGAGAAAGGAGTGACGAGGGTCCTAAGTGGGACCAGGGCCCACTAGAGGGAGTGACGTCAGTAACAAGGGTGTGGCAGAGCAGCAGAGTGGAATACGCATGATGGAGGCAGAATTGTAGATGATTTGTAGTGTCAAGCCAAAAAGCGTGGCTTTAATCTTGTCGGGGGGGACTTACTGAAAGTTGTCGAGCCATGCTTTAGAAATATCAATCTGGAAACCTTGATGGGGTTAGATTAGGATGGGGAGAGAAGGGTGGAGGCCATCTAGAAGACATTAGCAAAAATCTGAGTAGGGATGATGAGAATTATCTAGAGTAGAGCAGAATGGAAAGAGAAGGAAATGTTTCTAGGCAAACTGAATGGAAACATGTAATACATAGTTCTCTGCTGTCAAGGAGTTCGCAATTGTTAAGGAACATAAAAAACTATGTATTTATTTATAAGCACATACTTATAAATGCAATTTATTATAAAGTAATGTTCTGCATGTGCAACTTATATGCAGTGTGGTACGAAGCCAGGCCTGCAGGGGCATGGCTCAAGAGTGATTAACAAGAGAGGTTGGCAAGTGACCCATCTAGGGGGAGATGGCCCTGGAGTACCTAATAGCTCCTTAGTTTCTGCTTTTCCCTAACGCTGCACATGTCTGCAAAGTAGAAAACACTAAAACTCAGCCTCTAAATGGTGAATCCTCTGTTCAGATAAGCTAGGAAATAGAAAAAGGTTAGAAATGAGGGGTGTTTAATGGAACTGTCCCCCAAGAAGAAGAGCACTTAACTTGTTCACTTCAGCTCATAGAAAATTTGATCTCCTTTCCTAGTCAAAAAAATTCAACATGGGCTGTTTCCAAGAAGAAAATAGACACTTGATATACTGTCCCTCATTACTTGGGCATTTCAGTGATGATTAACTGGAGTAGTTCCTTATTGCACTGGTTCTCAACCTTCCTAATGCTGTGGCCCTTTAATACAGTTCCTGTGGGTCGCAACCCACAGGTTGAGAACCGCTGCCTTATTAGGAGAGGCAGGTTTGCATTTGTTTGACTTTGTAGTGAGTTTTTCTTAACTGTTATAGGTGTTTTCTTTGACAGTTCAATATAGTTATCCTCAAGTTACTTGGGCACCTCTGATATCCATAAAAACTAATGGAATTCCAAGTATAAGTTTAGAGAACCCTGCATTTCCAGTCAGAGAGTGAAATCCTCTTTGAGCACTGCAGGATAGTGAGGAATCTCCTGTTCTCCTTTAGCCAGGCCAGATCCCACTCACTCAGAAGAGTGAGAACCCCACCATTGGCAGGGGGTGACTTAATATTGCATTATTGGTGTATTCAGCAAGAAGGGATGAATCGTGTTAGTACCATAGTTATGTTATTGAGAAATCTTCATTTCATGGAAGGTTTCAGAGTATTTCCTTCACCTACTACCTATTTCCCTGAAAATAAGACCTACCTAAAAAATAAGCCCTAGTAGGATTTCTATGCGTTTGTTAAGCCCTACCCCGATAATAAGACCTAGTGATGGGCATGCATTTTGGCACGGAGTGGTAAGGAAGACTGGAATACCACCTTTTACCTGCCCTGAAAATAAGCCCTAGTGTGTCTTCTTGAGAAAAAATAAATATAAGACAGTGTCTTATTTTGGGGGAAACACAGTATTTTATTAAGTAATTTGACAGGGCCTGCTTTAATGAAGAACCAGACTCTTCCAGTTTTCTTTTGCTGTTGTTCAAACAGGTGGCTCATGCTAAAATCCAGGCCTTAGAATCAAACCTGGAAAACCTTTTGACCAGAGAGACCAAAATGAAGTCTTTAATCCGGACTCTGGAACAAGATAAAATGACTTACCAAAAGACGGTAGAGCAAATCCGGAAGCTCCTGCCGGCGGATGCTCTGGCTAATTGTGAAGTGCTTCTGAGAGACCTCAACTGCAACCCTAACAACAAAGCCAAGACGGGAAATAAGCCATAACGTAAGGGGTGCGGCCTCAGCAGAAAGTGCTTCTTAGAATACTACAGAAAGGCAGAACCAGCCTGCCACTGGCCCGAGGCTGGACCCTGACACTGAGGGAACCACCTGTCACTGGTGCTGAGCCCCTAGTCACAGCAGGTGGACCTCACTGTCCTCAGAGATGCCAATCTTAAGCCATTGTACATATGTAGACTGGTTTTTGTTGCTGTTGCCATGTACATATATATAAAACAGAAGAATTCATGCTTTCATGAGTAGATGTATATTTAGAGCAAATTTTTTTAGTCAAAACTTCATGAACTCCACACCAAAGGGAAGTTCACGTGGAATTCCCCTTGGACCCATGTGAAATCTTTTTGTTTTTACAGTGAAACAAAGCTAGAGCTAATCTTTGTATATTGAAATATACTTGAAAAAATGAATGTATTTTTTTTCTCCAAAGAACAGCATGTTTCACTTAGCGGTGGAAAGGTGGAAACATTGATGTAACTTTATGTGTATCTGTCTTAAAATCCACTGACATTGTCTAGATGAGAAAAATGACTGAGTGCTCATCAGGCTCCTCTGGGTTTTCCATGAAGGTGGGGGTCTCTCTCCTGGCCTGCTTTGTGCCAACTAGCATGTTGGCTAGGCATTACTTTAGACTCACCTAAGAAGACAGCAGGACGTTGTGGCGACATCTGCCCAGCTCAAGGTAAAGGAGAATGTTGCTAATTTTCTAGCAAATCCGACCAGTATTTTTACTCAAACCAAAAATATCATGCCTCAAAAGTTTAATGTAGGACCTCAGTTATCTAGGTTCACTTTCCACCTTTTAAATGACTCCTATGGTTGTGCACAGAATCCCCTTCAATTGGTGCCACAGTCACAAATGATAAGGAGTTGCCATTTCCTCACCCAATTGTGAGAGCTCGTCGCTCTCTACCTTAAATTTAGTGTAAGAAAATGCAATGCCTCGGCGGCTGTGGCTCAAGTGGCTAAGGCGCCAGCCACATACACCTAAGGTAGCAAGTTCAAATCCAGCCCGGGCCTGCCAACGAACAATGATGGCTGTAACAGAAAAATAGCCATGTGTTGTGGTGGGCGCCTGTAGTCTCAGCTACTTGGGAGGTGGAGGCAGGAGACTCGCTTGAGCCCAGGAGTTGGAGGTTGCTATGAGCCATGATGCCACGGCATTCTACCCAGGACGACAGCTTGAGGCTTTGTCTCAAAAAAAAAGAAAGAAAATGCAATGATGATCGATTTTCCAAAGATGACAAGCTGTATTGAGCTACTTCTGTCTCCTCTTCCCCCTCCACCCCCCCACCCCCGCCTTCCCCTCCTCCTCCTTCCTTGCCAATTGACTGAATCTAATGAGCTCTTAGTCATCTTCCCCTTTCTTGTGAAAATTTTTGAAAACTGTGAAAGGTTTAGGAGGAAGCTGTTGAAATCCACTAGAACAGTCAGGGAAAGTGGCACCAGCTCAATTAAAACCTGCAATTCTGCGTTTGGACACCCTCCTTCCTCAGCCTCCAGATAGCTTGTTAGAGGACATTTGCCCATGCTGGACATATGGAAGGAAGGTAAGGTTCAAAGTACACATGAAGTTCTCTGTCTTAGAGATGAGTCTCTCTGTGATAGTGCCTCTGCAAGTTGATGCATCTTTGCCTTTCCAAACAGTTATTTATCATCACGGCCATCTGCAGGGCTTGTGTTTTCCCAGATGGTTTATCTGGAGTAACTTTCTTCAAAGGGAGTTTGTTAGACACAATCTAAAATTCATTATAGAGTCAGAGAGTAAAGCGCTAAAGGTTTCAGAAAACCTTGCTGAACAGATAACAAACATCTGAACCCCCTGCACCCGTTACCCGGTGTGAGTAACTCCTTACAGATCATACTGATCTTAACAGATCAGCATGCCTTTGAATCCAGGCAGTTCTTAAAAGATAATAAAATCTTACTAGTAAAATGAATGTAACTTCCAGGTTCTGGAAAATGCTGATTCTGGGTACTTCCATTCAGTTGGGAGCCTCCAATTGATTTGCTCCTTGGGTTTCCTGAACATTTCTCTGTTTGTAGATGACAAATATCTTTTTACTGTCTGGTGATGAAAATTACCTTCTGGGTGTGATACACAGGTGGCAGCCAAGGCATCTTTATGTTGGGTAAAGAAACAGTCTTTTTCTTTCTGTTACTCAGTTTAAAGTAAACTTTATTCTGGATGTTTAGAATCAACATTATGAATTGCATTATAGTGTTCAGAGATTAACATGACTTGGATACAATATTTTCTTTTGAAAAGTTTTTTTTTTCATTTGTGATTTTTAAAAAATGTTGCACTAGTTAAGCTTCATGCATTGTTACATCTTCATCAGGTGAATGTAATGTCTAGTTCATTTATAATAAATCCATTGCTGCAGTTTGCTTGGCTCATTGGTTTTACTTTTGGTACTTTTGGAGAGAGAAGATGCTCTGGGTTAGAGTCCTTTTACAAGATATGCCTGGTGGGTTGGATTGTTACTACCTAAGATCACTACACTGATAATTCTGCCTGACAGAATCCAAGACAACAAAGATGAGAAAAGAGACATTTAGGAAAGTCCATTGTTCCCAGTTCTCAATCTCTTTCCTAGTGGAGACTTTTGATGACCACTGTGTAAAAGAAGAGCACTCGCAATGATAGATTTGCATTCTCCCCCTTTTATTTTCTAGGGGCCTTTATAGATCTGAAGGGAGAGAAAGAGGATAAGGAACCATCAAGTTTTTCAATTGGATTTGCTCCCAAATGATTAAGAATTAAGGGCATCTACTGATGGACATATTGTGAACGTACATGGGTCATTACTAAAACTTTGAGATTCACAAAATTCAAGAAATGTAAAATCTGTGTAGACAGAGACAAATGAAGCCATCTCCCTAACACTGATAAGCTGAGCAAGGTGAAACTGGCATGGGTGAATCAGAACGCTGTCTTCTGTTTCTTGGAAGAGGAATAATGGACCATAACACGCCTGTCTCAAAACTTACATGGTGACCTACATGCCAGTATAGTAAAGGTATAATTGCAGGGCATAATGGGAGATGAGTTCCTGATAAACAAGGACTCTTACCAAGGTCTTTGTAGGCCATGGTAGGAGTCTAACTTCTGCCCAGCCACCAGGGGGAGCCATTAGTGGACAGTAACAGATTTGCTCCAATCATTTTTATACATTTGAACAAAAACTAAGGAGTAATTAGGTGAATACAATAAAACTCCAGGTTAAAAAAAAAATAGTACAAGCCTTTTTTAGGGCTGTGCCCTTTGGCAAGCAGAATCGGCTTGACTTCTGATATGAATCACCAAAACCTGACAGTCTGTTTGCAAAATTTGCACATTTTTCCCCCATGAACTGCCTTAGTTCATCCATGTTCTTGCTCTAGTGCAGGGTTTTTCAACTTTTGTTATATCACAACACATTTGAACCTATAGTTAAACTTCCACAGCACACTTACATTATGTTGATAAAAAAAGAGTAAAAAAAGAAAATACTGTGCTTTGAACATATCCTGAAAATAATTTAATTAATGATCTTTAAACATTTTTGCAGCACGCATAAGATCTGCTCTTCTTCTGCTGTAGTAGGTGACGGGAGGCCATTCCCCATGTGTGGGGACAAGCTCCTGAACCACAGATACTGAGCTACTTAGTTTTTGTTTCTCTGGGTGAGAAGTGCAAGCCCAGAGTGGGGCTGAATGACTCAGTTGAAGAGAGGGGAAGGAACTAGAAGTAAGAGGGCATTTGCTGGAAGTATAGGAAAAAAGCAATAGAAAAGATATTAAATGGGGAATTGGGAAGCAAAGTGCTGTTTTCTCTCTAATTTACCTGCCATATTCAATACATCTCCATTCTGGGTGTTCCATGCTGTAGAAACAGATCTCTTTTGATACAAGTGCTATTGCAAGGTGAACGCAGCATCAGAGGACATGCCCAAGAAAGCTTGTCCAAACGCGGGCCATCATCCCTCAACTGTATTGTCCCTTGCCCTTAGTGTACCTCCCCTCAGGCAAAGGGGACTTCCTAAAACATAAATCTCATCAACTCTATGCTCAGCCTCAAATCTTTCAAAGGCTTTTCCTTCTTCCCCGGGATCAAGTCCATCCTCTTTTTTTTTTTTTTTTGCAGTTTTTTGGCCGGGGCTGGGTTTGAACCTACCACCTCCAGCACATGGGGCTGGTGCCCTACTCCTTTGAGCCACAGGCGCCGCCCAAGTCCATCCTCTAAAAATGACACATTCAGCCTTTGATGAGCGGGTCCCTGATGACCTATCCAGCTTGATGTCTCATCCCGTACCCCAGTCAAATTCCATCTCATTTACTTTTTGCTTTGCACAGGCTGCTCCCTCTGGAGGTCTGTACTGCCCCTTTCTTCCTGCCTCTGTCTGACCACTCCTGCAGGATGCCCTTGGGTGTCTGTGGTGGAAGAGACAGCCACACCCACCATGACAGCCCAAGGAGCTATTGTAGGTCATCTGACCAGCCCCCCCCCATGAGATTATGGATATTTTTGGTTTTATTTTAAGTTTTATTTATTTATTTTTATTTTCTCTATACATGTACATGGGTTCATTTGGTTTCTACTTTTTGCCTTCACAAAATTAAAGAGGCTTAAAATTTAGTAACAATAAGAATGTTTAAGATAAGGACTAGAAACAAAAACCTCGTAAAAATATGAATGAGGAGGAATACATTTGGAAAAGAAACAGATGATTGCTGCCACGAAATATTGAGCAATAATAATAATGATGCAAAAAAGCAACATTCACATTGTTGGATAAAAGTATGTCTATCACAGAATGCTTTGACTCTGAGGTTCAGTATGGAGTCATCATTATGCATTTTTTTAAAAAGGTAATTTCATCATTAGCCTAGTAGAAAAACATACTACCAGGTTTTGAAAAGGTAAGTGTGGTTTTATTCAGCATTGTGTATTTCTTGATGGCCTGCCACAGGCACATTACCAGATATTAGGGCCTTAAAAATCTCTCTCAAGTCAGTTCTTATCTGATAAATTTACCATTTTTATGAAAAAAAATGACAAATTGACTGTTTTTATGAAAAAAATCAGAATTTACACTGTAAATTCTAAAAGCATTCTAGCGCTTTGCCCTTCCTCGTAAACATACCCAGAGGGTGCCAAAAAATGGTTACATGTTCTAAGAAAGGAAAAAATTGGATTAAAATTATAATATGCAATATGCATCAATAACAAAAGATGAATGCACAGGTTATTACAAAAGTTTTGAGATACACAAAAATAAAAAATAAATAAAATCCATATGGAAAGAAACAAAACTCCCCCAGCAACACTGATAAAGCCTAGCAAGTTCAAACGTGCATGAGTGAATCACAAAGGATGCTATTTCTTAGAAGAGAAATAATGGACCATAACACAGCTTCTCTCAAAACTTTTGTAGTGACCTACAAATCACATTGAGCACCTCTTGTAATTGCAGAAGTCAAGTGTGACTTGAGTATTACAAATTTAATACAGTAGTTTCCTTTCTTAAAACATGTATACATTTTTTGCACCATCTGTATATTAGATGCTGTGTACTATGTAAAAATTATTTAATATATCATACGCAGTATAATATACCATATCTTACACTCCACATTAAATATATTAGGATACATGATGTAAATAATCCAGAACATCATTTACATATCATGTGGATGATGCCCCCTAGAGTTGTGTAATGTAACAGCTGATAAAATACATATTATGTAGCATATATGTATATATATATATATACACACACACATAGACTATTGGGAGCTGAGACCAGGTATCTTACACAGATGATGGTCTATACTAATATCATCTTAACTATTCCATTGTTGCATAGTTTTGTAATTCCAGGAGACTCCCATTCTGTATTGTTCATTACAAGAACTTCTTAAAAGACTCGTGACCTTTTCAATAGAAAGTTTATATCCCAAGATTCTTTGAACCCCTTCCCT